ATTTATTCGTAAATCAGGGTGGAAAATAAGTATTTGGTCAATAACAAAAATACAACTCAATACTTTGTAACATAACCTTTGTTGGCAATAACAGAGGTCAAACGTTTACTATAGGTCTTTACCAGGTTTGCACACACAGTAGCTGGTATTTTGGCCCATTCCTCCATGCAGATCTTCTCGAGAGCAGTGATGTTTTGGGGCTGTCGCCGAGCAACACGGACTTTCAACTCCCGCCACAGATTTTCTATGGGGTTGAGGTCTGGAGACTGGCTAGGCCACTCCAGGACTTTCAAATGCTTCTTACGGAGCCACTCCTTTGTTGCCCGGGCGGTGTGTTTTGGATCATTGTCATGTTGGAAGACCCAGCCTCGTTTCATCTTCAAAGTTCTCACTGATGGAAGGAGGTTTTGGCTCAAAATCTCACGATACATGGCCCCATTCATTCTGTCCTTAACACGGATCAGTCGTCCTGTCCCCTTGGCAGAAAAACAGCCCCATAGCATGATGTTTCCACCCCCATGCTTCACAGTAGGTATGGTGTTCTTGGGATGCAACTCAGTATTCTTCTTCCTCCAAACACGACGAGTTGAGTTTATACCAAAAAGTTCTACTTTGGTTTCATCTGACCACATGACATTCTCCCAATCCTCTGCTGTATCATCCATGTGCTCTCTGGCAAACTTCAGACGGGCCTGGACATGCACTGGCTTCAGCAGCGGAACACGTCTGGCACTGCGGGATTTGATTCCCTGCCGTTGTAGTGTGTTACTGATGGTGACCTTTGTTACTTTGGTCCCAGCTCTCTGCAGGTCATTCACCAGGTCCCCCCGTGTGGTTCTGGGATCTTTGCTCACCGTTCTCATGATCATTTTGACCCCACGGGATGAGATCTTGCGTGGAGCCCCAGATCGAGGGAGATTATCAGTGGTCTTGTATGTCTTCCATTTTCTGATGATTGCTCCCACAGTTGATTTTTTCACACCAAGCTGCTTGCCTATTGTAGATTCACTCTTCCCAGTCTGGTGCAGGTCTACAATACTTTTCCTGGTGTCCTTCGAAAGCTCTTTGGTCTTGGCCATGGCGGAGTTTGGAGTCTGACTGTTTGAGGCTGTGGACAGGTGTCTTTTATACAGATGATGAGTTCAAACAGGTGCCATTCATACAGGTAACGAGTGGGGGACAGAAAAGCTTCTTACAGAAGACGTTACAGGTCTGTGAGAGCCAGAGATTTTCCTTGTTTGAGGTGACCAAATACTTATTTTCCACCCTGATTTACGAATAAATTCTTTACAAATCCTACCATGTGGATTCATGGATTTTTTTTTCACATTCTGTCTCTCACAGTTGAAGTGTACCTCTGGTGCAAATTACTGACCTCTGTCATCATTTTAAGTGGGGGAACTTGCACAATCGGTGGCTGACTAAATACTTTTTTGCCCCACTGTATATCACATGTATAGCATTTAGTAAAATTTGTGTAATTTTTAGTAATGTCAAACTGGCATCAAAAAGGAAAAAATATATACCTCAGGGACATTGTCATATTGTTAAATGTTCAAATAATTAGAACCTGTTACTGTAATTGACAGTCAAAGTCATAATAAAGTAATCTGATATTTAGAATCACCATGTATCATTGCTGTATGTTGGCAATACAAACAACAGCAGTAAGAAACATTGTTTTGATAAATAGCTCTGTGCTATCGTTGACATTCAGAACAGTCGAGTGACCTTGAAGGAGAGGTCAAATATGAAAATAATAGTTTGAATCCTTTTACAGTACTTGTGTTGAGAATGTTTAACACAAGTACAAAGTTACAAGGCTTTGTTTATGACAACAGCTGAGTCATTAACTTGACAGATTTTAATAGATTGTTAACATGATCTACACTCCTATAAAGTTTTATTAGAATTCATTCAAAACTTCTTGATCTATCATGTTTACAGACAGAATGATGACATGCACGCATAACCTACTTGGCAGAGACAATAAGGTTTACCTCAGTCACTACTTTGCTAAAATACTGCGGTTTCCTTAACCTCCTAAGACCTGAACTCTTCCACAGCATGCATTTTTAATTTCTCTTTGCTATTTGGGCTGATTGGGACCTAATGAATGTAGAAACAAATAATTACCAGATTTTTTTTTGGATTTTTTTAAACCAGATTTTTGGTTCTGAGAAAAATGAGATCCACATATGAGGACATCCGTTTTAAATTTCGATAGAGCAGTGGCAGTATAATGTCCTCGCAAGTGGATATCAGGCCCTTGTAGAGCAAAATTTAGTATTTTGGTCTAGACAACCCAAAATGTGATGTCCACATATCTGGATGCCAGGTCCTACTTCAGTACTGGTTTGTAGTATTCTGATATTTTCCTCCTTATACATACATACATTTGTGTAAGTACTAATTTAGCCTTGTACCAAAGTTACAATATGCTATTATGTTGTTTTTCTCCCCTTGCTCCTATATTGATTGCAATAGGCACATTTATGCACGTCACTGCTCTCTGTGTTTCTACCTACCCTGCTTCACTTGTTTCCTTGGGATGTCTGGTTTGGTAATGATCAGACTGACAGGTCTGTTGTAAATTATTCAGGCCATGCTGTTCATCTGAGAAGTCTGCTGGACGTTGATGTTAAAAGCTTGTGTCCCACCTAGAAAGGTTAAAGGATTCAGTGTCGCATGACTGCAGTCGTCTATGTTTAGGATTTTGTATGATCGTGTCAGGTGAAGTACTGTAATCTCCTTTTGACCAGTTGAGTGAGTATCTTTCTTGAAAACATGTGCATGTGTTTAATGTGTTGCTGTTTGTTCTTTGTCTTTATCTAAAATGTGCTACACGGGGAAAAGGAATTCTAGTTTGGATTCGGAAATCATTGATTAGAGAGGAAGTGAGCCCAGTAAGGGTGTCAGGTTGTCTGTGAGATCATCAGTTAATCAATCCTGTATTTTAAGTGAACTGCCTGATGCAAGCTCATTGCCACCCTGATAGATTAAGACAGCGGTCTCCAACCCCCGGGCCACGGACCGGTACCAGTCCACGAGTCGTTTGGTACTGGGCCGCGAGAGTTGAGGCTGTGATATTTATGGTTTTCATGGTTTTTTATCGTTAACTCGGTTTCCCTGGTTCTTTACCCGTGTAGTTGTGTGTATTATTCTGAAAGAAATGTTTACACGTTACCATGGCGACTAGAGACCATTATGGGGCAGAGAGGAAATGCTCCTCCTGAAATGGGCCAACAACATTGAGAGTTGGGGCATCTCAGGAGGACGCTGATAATAAAGTGACACAGTGAACTCGCGTTTATCATGATATTTACAAAATACCACAGTTTTTGCTTGGTCGTAACATTTTATTTTGTTGTATTTGTCTGCGACACCTTTAAGGCCAGTCCGTGGAAATACTGTCTGAGATTTCCTTGGGGACCACTGGATTAAGAGATAAACTATCCAATCTCATCTGATAGAATTCACATCTACTTGCTTTGTTCCACTAAAGTATGTTTTGGTATTAATTTTAAAGGATTGAAATGGCTATTTGTCCCACGTCAGTTTTTGCATACTAATCGTTAATAACAAAATGTTGCAAATGTATTAAAAATCAACAACTATAATATCTAATTTATAAAGGTATTTAGACCTTTAGTTGAGAAATTTTTGGAAGCCACTTTGCGTTTTGGTCTTGTGTTGCCTGTTTGCATAGGTCATTCTGGGAACTTAACCAATGCAGAGACTGGTTGGGCACATCAGTGAGCAGTCCTGCAGGAAGACGACAGTGCAAACTTGAGCCATGATAGCTTTGAGTGCCGGCAGAATGGTGACTGCCTATAGACCAAGACCTTAAGTTGTCTAGAGGATTTGCACGCCTGGTTGCGGACAGTATATCTTATTTCCCATGACAAAACTTCTTGAGCTCCTTCACATAGGATGGGTGGTGTCAGTAAACTGGCATCATAAGTCTCTCTAACGCAGGGGTCTCAAACTCCAGTCCTCGAGGGCTGGTGTTCTGAAACCTTTCCACGTGTCCCTGTTGCAACACACCTGAATACAATTAGTAGGTCATTAGCAAGAGTCTAGAACTTGACTGAACTGCCACCTCAGCATGCTCTACAAGACGTGGGTGGATTGGTAAAGGGCAGAGAGCTCCAGTCCGACTCAGACGCCAGCAAGGTGGAGGTGGAGTACTGGTTTGGGCTGGTATCATCAAAGATGAGCTTGTGGGGCCTTTTCGGGTTGAGGATGGAGTCAAGCTCAACTCCCAGTCCTACTGCCAGTTTCTGGAAGACACCTTCTTCAAGCAGTGGTACAGGAAGAAGTCTGCATCCTTCAAGAAAAACATGATTTTCATGCAGGACAATGCTCCATCACATGCGTCCAAGTACTCCACAGCGTGGCTGGCAAGAAAGGGTATAAAAGAAGAAAAACTAATGACATGGCCTCCTTGTTCACCTGATCTGAACCCCATTGAGAACCTGTGGTCCATCATCAAATGTGAGATTTACAAGGAGGGAAAACAGTACACCTCTCTGAACAGTGTCTGGGAGGCTGTGGTTGCTGCTGCATGCAATGTTGATGGTGAACAGATCAAAACACTGACAGAATCCATGGATGGCAGGCTTTTGAGTGTCCTTGCAAAGAAAGGTGGCTATATTGGTCGCTGATTTGTTTTTGTTTTGTTTTTGAATGTCAGAAATGTATATTTGTGAATGTGGAGATGTTATATTGGTTTCACTGGTAAAAATAAATAATTGAAATGGGTATATATTTGTTTTTTTGTTAAGTTGCCTAATAATTATGCACAGTAATAGTCACCTGCACACACAGATATCCCCCTAAAATAGCTAAAACTAAAAACAAACTAAAAACTACTTCCAAAAACATTCAGCTTTGATATTAATGAGTTTTTTGGGTTCATTGAGAACATGGTTGTTGTTCAATAATAAAATTATTCCTCAAAAATACAACTTGCCTAATAATTCTGCACTCCCTATAGAGAAGCCATCATGCATGCAACATCGAATTCTATAACTTTCTTGCACAGTCTTCTGTTTATCGAGGATTGGTTCCTGGTAAGTTGGTCCTTTCCCTGGTGTGCACTATTTCTGCTCAAACTGGCCAGATGCCCATCTCTATGAAGTCTCCCAGTGACTGGAGAATTCAATAAAAATGAACAGGAGGCACATCAAAGGGTCTGAATATGTTAACTGAAACATTAAAAGCATGGTTTCACATTCAGTTAGGTTACATGTTGTTAGGAAAATTACACTTTTATCATTCAAAAATGAATAAAACAACAAATTGCACAAAACTCTGAGGTGACTAGTTAAGATGTAGAAGATGTACTGTGGACTCTACATGTGTTGATTTCTCTGCAGGAGTCCTAGATGAAAGGATTTCATTCAGAAAATGGAGGCAAACAAGCTCAAAAGAGATGTTGAGGCCCTTATGTGAGTGGATGCTAACATGTTACAAAGCATACCGTGCAGTCGGTAAGTAAACTGGCAACTGGTTCATTTTCTCCTGTTCCCAAACAGAGACAACTACATTGGACAGAAACTTAGGGAAGACGCCTTTGATCCGAAGGGCAAGGGAACTTTCACAGCGCTGGATGACTTGGTAAAAACTCAGCAGAAGCAACCAATGCTAAAATAATGTTTTAATGTATAACTAAGTAGAGCTGGCAACTTCTGTGTGACATGTTGTAGGCTCACTATGATCTTGCAATCAGTGTTGCCCTTTGGTGGCTGGAGAAGAAGGAAGGACGACATGTGCTCGACAGAGAGATCATGTACGTTTTCTGTTTTTTAAAGTTAAACGTTCTATCATTGATACTCCTGAATTATGTTTATTATGCTCACAAAATTAAGTAAAAATTAAATAACAAGTATAAAAATAAACAAAACTTTGGTAAAAGCAGCTGTAATAAGACATGATGCCGTACAGTGCTTTTACAAAGGCAAATGAATAGAGTCAGTTGGTGGATTGGTTGCCTTTCACCACCTTCCTCCTGCACCACAGTGGAGCAACATGCAGTTTAGGAAGTGCCCAGTATCCTAATCGCTTAGAGCGGGAGGCTATGATCTTGTCATCCTTTGCTGGGATTATCATGGTAAGGATATTTACATGTAAATGCAACTTTTAATAAATCTAAAAGCTAAAGGTAAACTCTCGAAAAACCTTCCTGAGAGTACTTTGATGCACTTAATGCCTAAACTGCTTATTTTAACTGTTGTGTGTTTCTGTTTAGAGTAGCCTGCCAGTGGAGGAAATCTTGACTCTGTACAGGTGTAAACCAGCCGCTTCATACCCCAACCAGAAGTCCAAGGTACAAAAGTGTCCTAGTTAGGAAAGTGGCTGCAACTGTTTTATCCTTTTTGAAACATAATTTTGCCTAAAAACATCCCATTCCTTTTTCTTTTTCTAAACCCAAGGGCTCAATTGTCTATCCCATCACTCTGTCCTATCATCCGTTTGCAATACTTGGATCCTACAAGGCCGTGTACCACTCCAAGAAACACAGTAAGTGTGTGTTGTCTGGTTTAGCCTTTATGGTAGTGACAAGAGAATAAAGATACAAATTGTTTCTCAAATGGGAATCAAATAGATTTCTATACAATTAAACTGCTTTGTACAACCAAAGCGGGCGTGAGTTGCTGGCAACTTTAATACAGTCTATACTTGAAACAAGTCTCAAAACGGAGTGCGTCTGGTGCTTGGCAAGAATATTTTGATTTTATGAGTACATATAAAATATAAGCAACTTAAAATAAGATTTTATTTTTTTTTACTCTTTCTGGAGACACACTCCTCAACAGATAAATGAGTATAGCAAAACCTCTCTGACCTCTTACTAGTGTACTCAGCAGTATTTATCTTGAGTTTCCTGGGAAACTTTAAGTAAAAAACCAAAAAAAACAAAAGCAAGAACTTTTCCTTCTTTTAAGTTTTAATCTTCTTTGATCTGTGTTTTGTTTCTTTAAACAATATAGACAACATCATCAACAATGTACTATTCTGTCTACATGAACTTTTATGACTTCTGTTTTGTTCTTTCTTTGATTTTTTTGCAAAAAGTGCTCTTTTGCCAAATGTTATTCTTTAAAAGTATTTATCAGTTTGCAGAATGTTTGATTTTTGAGCCAAGTAGAAATATAAGGAATACAAAACAGAAGCACTCAAACATGTACTTCAGTTCAGTAGTGACTGAGTAAAGCTATTCTGCAGACTCAGGCTGACTGCAATTGACAGCAGTTATTTGCTGGGAGGCAGGTTTGCTCCTACCAGGTGACCAGTGAGCAAAAATGGTCTCAAACCAGTTGGTTGTTCAAATGCTAAATGTGAAAGAAAATTCATTCCAATCATCCTGGGAGGTTTTTCAATCTAGTGTGACTGAGCCATTAATATTCTGAAGGACTGTTTTTTGTTTTGATTTTTGAAAACCCCAAAACGAAACTCTTGCAGATCAGAAGCTGAAAAGATGGCTGTCTGGGCAGACAAAGGCAAGTGCTCCACCGAAGCAAGTTTCATCTTCGTTTTCCACTTCATCTCAGTCCTTCATCAGTGTGAGTACCGTATCTGAGCAATCACCATATGTGTCATGGTCCTGCGACCATGACTCGGTGACTTTGTGTTTGTGTTCTTTATTATTACTTTCATTATTATTCATGGCTGTTTTGGGATGGTTTGTGTTTTGGGATTTTAGATACTGGGTTTTGGGTTTGTGCTCCCTCTATTGGTCCCTGGTGTCAGTGTTCCCCTGTCTCGTCAGGTTAACCAGGTCCAGCTGTGTCTCCCACCTGTGTGTGATTTCCCAGTGTCTCTCTGTGTACTTATAGTGTGTGTTTTCCTCTGCTCCTCGTCGCGTCGTCTGTGTACATACCCTGTGTTCTTACCTGGTGTAATCCCCTGCGTGCTCTCCCTGCTGTTCTCCCTCCATGCTCAGGTTTTCTATTTCTTTGTGTAGTTTATCCCAGTTTAGTTTCGTCCTTAGTTCTGTTGCCATCTCCACTTTGTGTTGGCTATTCTCAATAAATCACCTTCACATCCGAGTAAGTGCTGCGTTGAGTCCTCCTTTTCCACTCCTCCACACGGCCGCTGCCCCGGACCGTGACAATATGTGTGGTAGGCAAAATAAGAACTCTAAAAGATCTCTAAATACCAAGGAAAAATACTTCAGTAGTCAGTACAAATCATGTAAATGGCTCCTGTGTTTCCCATCATATACCATATACAACATGCAGATATGTTTTAAACTTTTAACCACTTGCTAAACCCAGCTGCATACTCTGTTTTATTAACACCTGCTGCTTACTAAGTCTCGTTGTGTGCACCCCCCCCCCCCCAATTACAAATAAAGACAAGCAGCTTTATTTCAATGATGAAAGTAAAGTGAAGGTTGCATCTTCAAGAGACAGTAGCTTCAGCACATCAGACACACCTCGATATTTAATAATCTGACATCAAGCAGATTATTAAAGACTGCCTTTATTGTACATAGAGCCAAATTAAAATAATACTCTATGGTGCCATGGTATAACACAAGATGTTGACTAAAACATGAGATGGTAGCATGTAGAATAAATAAAATCACACCTTTTAGGTTTTTTTCTTATTTAACATCCGCACCGCCTGCTGAAACAACCTTTTGCTAAATCTGGACGTGTGAGTCTTGGCCTATAACACCTGCCATAGATGATTGCCCGGGTGAGTGAAGTCCTGGACAATTTTGGTATTTGTGCTGAGGTAGCGTGATATGGCACTCTCCTCCAGAAACGAGCAGTCAGTTCTTTTCTGTGCAGTTCTTATCGCTCATTCCTGCACTTTCTTTTGGAAGTTGCAGTGGTGTTGGCCGACCAGGAGAGGTCCTCGTATATGAAACGCCCAGGATGTCTGCACCCTTCCTACGCGTGCTCCATTTATACAGAGAGGGGCAGAACTGTGTCATATTTCCTCCACTAATAATGCAGTTGTCTTTGTGGTGATGAGTCTCTGGTTATTCACCAAGAATCGCTCAGATAGTCTTCATAGCTCTTCTCTGCATGCTGACTCATTTCTTGTGATAGGCTTAATGATGGTTGTGTCTAATTTAATTATGGTGTTATAGGAGCGGACAGGTATGCAGTGATGGAGTAGTAGAGGTGAGGACCTAGTTTGACTGTCTGTGAACGGCTGGTGAGGAAGTCTTTGGTCCTGGTGCCGATGGGGATCGAGAGGCCAAGTCATGTAGCATGCTGATTAGCATGTCCACGGGATGTCCAGCTCTGTGTTCCAGGTGGTTTAGTGCTGTGTGGATGGTGATGGCCTCTTCGGTGGGTCTGTTAGCTTTGTGTGCAAACTGATGTGAGCTAAATGTGGAAGAGAGGCTGGTTTTGATATGATGCAGGACCAGTGTCTCAAATCACCTCTTAATCAGATAGGTAAATGTAGTTGACTTTATGCATTTCTAGAGCTGACTGACCTGAACACACATCCTGTTCCTGCAGAGTGAATCTATGAAATCTTTTGGCCTCAAATTGGAAGAAGAAACAATTTAGTTCCCCCGGGTCTTCCCCAGACCTTTCTTGAGTTGTTACATGTTAGGTGGTCCTCAGTGCCACTGTTGTAGGTCCTTTTAGTCTCCTGTAAATACAGTTTGGGTAATGCGGTTCTTTTTTTCTTAGTATTCCCACATTTCCCTGACCTCATGGCATTTTCAGTCTAAGTTAAGGAAAAGTGATTAGGAAAAGAGATAGGAAGTAATTTTGAAATGTTCAACATCAGTCCAGAAATATTTCAGAGAAAAGACTAGGCTTTGAAATGCCCAAAGCCAAGAAGGAAATATTTGAACAGTAATTTCTTGTTCCAACGTCTGCATTGAAAATCCTCTGCTGCCACCCTGTGGATCTAAACAAACCTCCCATACGCTCTGCTTCACTTTTAGGAAAGCAGTGATGTTCACCAGGAAAGGACTGAGCACTATGAAGGCTCGCAAGAGTCTCTGCACAACTGACGTCAACCTCCAGCAGCTGCCAGAAGTAGAGACATTGAGCTAGAGCAATAATACTAACATGAAATGGTAAAACTGCTCAGTTGAATGTTAACGTACTCAACTAAAAATGTCACTTAAACTCAAAAATGCACTTCAAGTACTCAGAAATAAAAGAGACATAAACAGAGAAGTATTTTCTGTCAACTGGGCTCTGTGTTATTTGATAATGCATTATATGAATAAGTTGTTACTACATTCAATGTCATGCTTTAATGTGTTTCCTTCACTCTGTACTCCTCGCAAAGTGCCATACCAGACTGTGTTGGTGGAGTTTATGCGATTATGGAGGTCTGATGATCTGAAGCACAACTCCATGCTTCTTGGTCAAACAGCCTTTGGTGATGCTGGAGATGTGCAATGACTCAAACTACTGATGGTCTCACTGGAGTCAGAGATTTTTAAAAATATATTATTTACCCAGGAAAAATACAACTCTTGGAGTTAAAAATGGCTTGTCCTCACCAAGAAAGACACAGCTCATACACAAGGTCAGGGTTTACTGATTTTCATATTAGATATGACCTTGACCTAATTTTCATCAAAATTAAATTGGCTCAACCTGTCACTGGTATCTATCTGGACTGGACTTCTTTAAGTTGTTTGAAGACGTTTTTATTTCTCATCCAAGAGGTTTCTTCAGTTCTAAAGCCAAAAGGTGGAGAGTCCCGGATATTTAAACCCTAGTAGGGATTGGTAAATGGACTGATCCTTATATAGCAATTTTCTACTCTATCTGAGCACTCAAAGTGCTTTACACAACTTGTCACACCAGTACTTTTCCCCCCTAAGCACTTACTATCTAACATTCCTACATACCCCGATGGATGCATCAGAGAGCAACATGGGGTTAGTATCTTGCCCAAGGATATTTGGCATGTAGACTGGGATCAAACCGCAAACCTCCCAGTTAGTTAGTAGGTGACCTGTTCTACCACCTGAGCTACAGCCACCCTCAGGATCGATTCTGTGAAGGGTCGTTGAAACACTATTGATCATGTATGTCATCAAAAGGTCTAGGGTGTGAAAAAAAGGTGTGGGTCATTACCAACAGAGGTTTCGGGAGACACCTGTGTGACAACCTCAACCTCTCATGTACCTATTGAAGTCACCTGATGAGTTGGGGTTGAGGCGCCTGGGAAGGGATCTCAAAACTGGATTGTAGGTGGCAGACAGTGTGTCGTAGGCCTCTGTTCAATGACGGTCATTCACAGTAGACATAGAGGTCTGTTTCAGTCCTTTTTCAAACCATCTTTCTTCTCTGTCCAAAATGTGAATGCCGGGAACCTTTAAAAGAGTGAACTCTATCCTTTAGGTGCAGATATACAGCTGAGCCTTGTCCCGTCGAGGTGGCATGCGTTTATGGAGTGGCTGTTTGGTTTCTCCCATGTACAAGTCTAGGCACTCCTCATAGCATACAGCAATATAATTTTATGCTTTTGACAAGATTCACTTATTACTTGTTAAACATTCCAGTTTTGTCTTTGATGAAAACAATGAAATCATTTTTGTTACCTCGGGTTATGTTATTAATTTAGAGAATCAGTTTGTGGATAAATGATTATTGTAGGTTTGTTACCTTGCAGTATAAGCTACCCTGATGCAACTGTTGTTGCGGCTATATAAATACAATTGAATTGTTATAGAAATGTAAGAAAATCTCAAATGATTGACTTTTAGAATCAGTCCTAATCCATGCCCAGTAATATTTAGAAGCATTCGTTACCATTGTAAGAGAAAAACTGGATATTTGGTATCTCTTTACAATTACATATCAGATTGTTTGTAGAGTTACTAAAACTGTCAAATAAGTGTACCTGAATACAAACTCCAAAGTGACACAAAGTAAAAGCACCTAAATATCACTTTGGTACTGATATTGACTTTACACTGAAGGTGCCTGGTCCCATTTTCCTCATACAAATAAAACACACAAATCCACATTTTTCTTTTTTGGAATTTCTGCAAATGTTTATAGAGGCTGATTCATTTTGTGATTACCTCTGACATTCTGCGAGCAAAGATTAATCTCCTTGATGAGTGGATAAAATGTGTCTCTAATGTCCATATCAATAAAGAGGGCACAGTGGGTCAGTAATTTGCCTGGTAGGACTTTTGCATTGATGATTCAGGGATTTTCGCTGTATGCGCAGGATCAAGACTCTTGGCAACGATGCCAGTATGTTAAATCCCCACTCATTGAAAAAACAGCTAAAGTGGGATCTGCTAACCCTTTGATTGAGGTTTATATAGCGGGGCTCTGGTGCCGCTTTGTGAGACCACCATTTTTCTGTAGGTGACTGGCTCCAGCACACTGCAGGATGAGTAGTAAGGTAAGAGAGATTCATTTTGTTTAGAAGTGGGCTTCTTCAAGCTGACAAGTTGTGTTGCAGCTTCTCAAATAATGATTAGGTTCTAAAAACTAAACTGCCAGACACACCGACAAACTGACAGTGCCTTTAACTGACTTTAACAACCCATGACATAATCAACACTACCAGAATCACACATACAGGCTCGACTGAAATCTGTAGTACAGCATCACCAGACTTGGCTGTGACTGCCTCTGTCCACCCTCCTCCTCCTCCCCTGGCTTTAGATCATATTCTATGAGGACAGAAACTTCCAGGGTCGCTCGTATGAGTGCGACACCGACTGCCCTGACATGCACCCCCACTTCAGCCGCTGCAACTCTATCAAGGTGGAAAGTGGTTGCTGGGTGCTGTATGAGAAGCCCAACTACACTGGCTACCAGTATGTTCTGACCAGAGGCGAGTACCCAGACTACCAGCGCTGGATGGGCTACAATGACACCATCCGCTCCTGCCGTACCTTCTCCTATGTGAGTGAACAGGAAACTATGTGCAGTTAATACTGTGAAAAATGTCATTTGAGAATTACATTTTCTGACTTAGAAGTGGTTTTATGTCATTATTTAGATGATTAAACCACTGATTTTTACTGTTTTCTATCTGCACAAGCCAAATAACATGATTAAAATATTAGATATTTTTTCCTTCCAACTAAAGTTGCACTTTAATAAGAGTTTAGATTTAGTTGCTGAAAAGTGCTTTCCCTGTACGAATCTACATGAAATAGTTCAAGGTCAGGTGTAGGAGAAAGTAATGTTTGGCAAACAAGTAAATAAAAGTCAATTATAAATGTCAAATAAGTTGTTGTTGCTGTTTTCTCATAATTATGACACATTGTAAAACTGTATTAAATCAGGTTCCATGTATTATCTGTATATTATTATTTTTTATTTTAAGCACGTCTATGTTTAACTATTCTTTTGATGTGGCACGACAAATAAATACCAGCCTCTGACATTACTTAATGAAATTTTATTTGCTCACATGCAGATATCACTGAACAAGGCCAATGTAGGCCAACATTTAGCTGATACATTAATGCAGTCCTACAAATTTAAAATAAAAAACCCCCAATGGTTTTGACTTTTTTTTTTTTTTAGACATATTTATTTTTTAAGAGTAAGCTATGTCAATTTCCAATAAATCTTCCCCTCACACACACCCATACAGAGCTGCAGAGGTACTGATGCTACTCTAATTTTGTGTTTTACCTTACTGCTATGTTCATCCAGACCAGCGAGGGGCCCTACCGCATGCGCATCTACGAGCGACCCAACTTCCAGGGTCAGATGATGGAGTTCAGTGAGGACTGCGAGTCGGTGCAGGATCATTTTCGGAGCCGTGACATCTATTCCTGCAATGTCATGGACGGCTACTGGACCCTCTACGAGCACCCAAACTACCGTGGCAGGCAGTACTTCATGAAGCCCGGGGAGTACCGCAAGTTCAGTGACTGGGGGGCCACCTGCGCCACCACTGGCTCCTTCCGCAGAATCACAGAGTTCTAATCTGGATTGAATCGCTATAGAAAAACAAAACGAAATAAAAATGGTAACGTGTCTCAGCGATTGACTTAGCATTATTAAGATATAACTTCCTAAATAAATGGAGCTGTTGTTAAACTACTTTCTGTGCTTTCTTTGTTACTGACTGATTTAACTAACATCACATGAAATGACACATAAATGTTTCCATTTTGTGGAAACATTTCCAGCATTTAAGTATCATCATTTATTATATGGACATTCCACACATTGACACATTTATTTGAAACCTTAATAGTTTCCTGTGCCAGAATGAGCCTTTATCTCATTTTGACATACTTGCACATTCAATAAGGAGGTTGCCATGTGGCATTAATATAATTAAAATGAACATGGCATTGTTCTGCTTAATTTTTACTGCATAAAATTTAGTGAAATTGCAGCGGAGAGTTTTAGAACACACTCACTGACACGAGTGTCTCTAACTCTTTGTAATAAGGTAATTATTTACTTTCTGAATTCTCCTGATTAAAAAAAGGGCTAATTTTTGGTGTAATGTTTGTTGGAAGTACGGTTTTTAGTTTTTCTAGTAGTCAGTCTCACTCCTACAGAAAATTATAAATCAATATCAACACACACCAGCAAAAAGAAACGTTTTATAGGCATTTACTCACCCTTCATACTCTGAATCCAGCCCATTTAAAGCAAACACATGAAGATTGAAAGACTTGTGACTGTTCCAGCGCCTGCACATGTTGTAGCTCTTGCTGGAAGCTGTATGGCATCTGTTAACCTGAACACAGGACATGACAAACAGGAGTGGGTAGACTCTTGTAATATTTCTGCTGACACCACGCCTCATTTAAATAACACCAACTGCTCCTAAAAGGGTATTGTATATAAAGATGGAAGCTAATTTTAGGATTTAAAAACGCAGGAAGAAGTTTGACCAACAACAGCAGGCATTATGGGAAAGGTTTGTATGTCGTTTTACATGACGGATATCTGTAGATCAAAAATGAGCTTACATGCCTTTTTCTGTCCCTCGGTCAGATCATCTTCTATGAGGACAAGAACTTTGGAGGCCGTTACTATGAGTGCATGAGCGACTGTGCCAATTTGCACTCTATGTTTGACCACTGCCGCTCCATTAGAGTGGAAAGTGGCATGTTTATGATCTATGACCGTCCAGGCTACGCGGGAAACCAATACTTCATGAGGAGGGGAGAGTACTCTGACTACATGGGCATGACCGGTATGAATGACTGT